GCCACATGTGCACCACATCACTCAGTCCCATCCAAATCTTGGTAAGTAAACGCAGGATATTGCTGAACTATTTAATTATCTTGTCTTATCCCTAAAAGTAAACGAGGCCTAAATAGATAGTAAAATTGTAAAATTTGCAATTGCGAGAGTCGGGCAAACATGCACACCGTTCTAATACATAGACCAATTAGTATCATTTGTCTTCTATTTTTTGTATAATTTTTCATATTTATAACATATAGTTTCCTGTTTTATGCTGATTGGAGATATATACGTGTCTGATTTTGGTAAATCAATTCGGACCTTTCATTTAATAATTGAACTCGAGTTCGAAAATATGAAAGATTTACTTGTTGTATATAGAAAATTGACTCCACTATGGAGCCAACTGTTGGCTTCATAGCAAAACCGATGATCATACTTCTTAGGCAACTAGTTATATACTTCTTAATGTTAGGAGTTTTCACAGCAATTACATTGTTTACACACCTGAATACAACACAGACATGCATAGCTTTTGTCAAACACAAGTGGGATGACAATTTGTTGAATTGCAATCAAATATTAATTTGAATACTTTAGTTGCGGGGCCTTGAAGTTTTGTCTAAATAGCTAAACAAAAACAACCTTCGACTCCCCACAAGGTAGACTAGGAAAAGATGCATTTGAATGCAGTGACAATTCGCGTAAGGAACATCTGAAGGGCCACAAGACTCGAGCGCAAAAAATTAGTTGCGATTATTTTCTTCTCCCTAACCTTGGTGGTTTTTAATCAATCTGTTTTACAGGTTTTGGATTCTCTAACAATGCCATGATCAAAACCCAGAATCCACAAACCTTGGTACCTTGACAATTTGCTGTTTTATGTTGCCAGCAACACTTTCAGTATTGTCAGTCCGGCCAAAAAATTTAGAACATTCCGAAGGAAAGAGGCAAACACGACAAAAAAATGTTATCAAATTTGAACAGATAATTTGTAAGAACTTTTTTAGCAGCCATCGGGAATCTCTGATCAGATTTAGCAGATTAACGTGACCTGTAGCAGGTCCTCTTTGCCGCACGAACAATATCTTCAACCTAAACAATAGACCAAAAGTACCATTAATATATGTTACGTAGATAAGACCTGAAATGAAGAGCTACACAATTTATATCATGTCATTGTTAAAATGGCAAAATATAAAAAACAATATTTCCAATTAGCTTTAAAGTACGTCTTGCCAACTCCAGGAAACTCCATTCCAGAAAGTATTTCTCATCTCTTTGGTCTATTATTTCTACTCGAAAAAGCTAGGGACATGGAATACTTCAAGGATGATTCATTAAAAAGTCATATCATATGAGCCATAAAATAAAGTGAAGACCAAGAATAATAAGAAAAAAGGAAACATTCGTGGAATGATGATAAACTCTTGAATCACAAGCATTACATCTCCACAGATAAATGGTGTGTTTTAATTCAAGCATTATAATTTTTCGGTACAGGCCTCAAATCTGAAGACCGAAGTAAAATTAAAGATCTGTCAATGCCTGTTAAAAATTACCCATGCATGCACTAAATCTAGATATTAAAAAAAGTTCAGTTGTCTTTCACAACTACAAATAGTCCCCGTAAGGTAGCACAAACATTCCATTGAAGGTACATATTCTGAGCAAATAGCCCTCTTATTTTACTGTGCATTTTGTAAAATATAAATAAAATTTGAAGTGTTTGCAGTTAAAGATGGCTGGGTCCTTCTGTAATAATGATGAACCTCAGGGTCGCTTTCTGTAGCTAATCGTTACTAGTTATATCTCAATTAATTATAGAGGATAGAACTTTCTCCAACTTAAACCATTTGGACACTCAATCAATAATATTAAGGCCGCTTCGTATCCTAGATGAGGTGAGAGCAACACTTCTGTTCGGTGGTATACTCATGCAACTCTCTAACACAAAACAAACTCATAAAAGGACAATAAAGAAACTAACTAAAGTAAGCACATACCTGAGGAACAGCCAATCTTTCAAGATTTGCAGCATAAGGCATGGGAACATCAGCCCCTGCAATCCTCTCAACAGGGGCATCAAGATATTCAAAGCTATCTTCCACAACAGTTGCACTGGAGGAAAACAAAAATAATCATTTGTTAAGTGTATATGGTGTGAATATAGAATAGTCCTTCAGGAAAGGATATATATTTTCTATAATTAAGGGATTAGGTTGGGATTTGATTAGGTTGATTATTCTCATAGATGTATATATAAATAGGGCTCTTTGTGTCATTCAAATCATTATAAAATATACAGAACTTCTCTTGATTACATCATTAAACGCAAAGAAAAGAGGCTCAATGTGTGTTTGTGTGTGCAAGATAAAGAGACAAACACAAACACAGACACACACACGGCACACGCACACGATAGAGAGAGAGAGAGATGCAGCTATGTAAAACGACTTACCAGATCTCAGCACCAACACCGTGTTGAGGAAATCCTTCTTCAACAGTCACAAGCCTATTTGTTTTCCTAAGAGATGCATTTATTGCAGCTCGGTCAAGAGGGCGAATGGAGCGAAGATTTATCACCTGCATGAACAAAGAGAAACATAAAATTGTGGTTGAGAGCATTTTTTTTTAACACCATTTATTAACATGTAAAGGGCTGTGAGGTGTCTTTTGAGTTACCTCAGCGCTAATCCCTTCTTTTGCGAGAATATCGGCAGCCTGTACATAATGAAAAACTTAATCCAAGAGGCAAGATAGAATGATCAACTAGAAAATCAAATATGCGCACAAAACAACCTAGTCAAATTCCATGACTTATCTCGAACAAAAAACATAATGCTACAGGTATTTTCATTATATGGAAGCTGCAAATTATTATAAACTGAAAAATTAACTGTCACAGGAGTGAACTTTCAGTTTTTCAACTTAATACTTTATACATGAATTAAGGTTCCATCCCACTATATATATCACTTTTTATCAATTGTCTCATATTCCACCCATACGCTTACTTTCCAAAACAGAATAAACAAATGAAATTAAAAGTCAAACTGAAAGCCATAAGTAACTAGAATCCATGATAAAAAAAAAAA